GTTCTAACATAACACTTGTTCGCGAATCCCTTGCCAAAAAATGGGACGAAGTGCACACGCGCGCGTCGTCGCGCGCGCATGCCGAAATCCTTCAAAAACTTTCGGTGCCGCAAGGATTTCGCAATCGAGTTTCCGAAACACATACAAAAGCACAGGGTTTCGCGACACTGATTTGCTAAAAAAGCATCCGCGGAAACTCTTGCGAAATCTTAAGAAAACCATCGGTGTTTCAAGATTTTCACAAATGCTACCAAACGGGCTTCGCGCGCGCTCATGTCGAAATCTGTCGAACGCCCTTGCGCGTGTGCCGTCGCGGAAATCCCCTGCCAAAAACGGGACGAAGTGCAGACGCGCGCGTCGTCGCGCGCGTACGCCAAAAACCTTCAAAACCCATCGGTTTCGGAAGGGTTTCAAAATCGTGTGTCCCCAAAAACCTACACAAACCAAAGGTTTCGCAACACGGATTTTCAACAAAAGCGTGCGCGCGCTCTTGCGTCGTCGTCGTCGTCGTCGCCGTCCTCTCTCCTCCCGCGTCGTTGTCGTCGTCGTCGCCTACGTCGTCCTCTGCCTTTCCTCGTGTTCGTCATCGTCGTTCTCTTTGGCGTCGTGATCGTTTCCGTCGTCGTTGTCGCCGTGGTCGTCCTTCCTCCTCCTCCCTCGTCGTCGTCGTCGTCCGTCGCCGGCGTCTCGTCGTCGTCCTCTCTATTTCGTCGCCGTCGTCGTCGTCGTCGTCGTCGTCGTCGTCGTCGTCGTCGTCGTCTTCCCTCCTCCCTCGTCGTTGTCGTCGCGAGAATCCTCTGCAAAAAACGGGACGAAGTGCAGACGCGCGCGTCGTCGCGCGCGTACGCCGAAATCCTTCAAAACCCATCGGTGTCGGAAGGATTTTGACATCGCGCGTCCAAAAAACCTACAAAAACCCAAGGTTCCGCAACACGGATTTTCAACAAAAGCGTGCGCGCGCGCTCTTGCGTCGTCGTCGTCGTCGTGGTCGTCGTCGCTCCTCCCGCGTCGTCGTCGTCGTCGCCTACGTCGTCCTTTGTCTTTCCTCGTGCTCGTCGTCGTCGTCCTCTTTGGCGTCGTGGTCGTTTCCGTCGTCGTTGTCGCCGTGGTCGTCCTTCCTCCTCCCTCGTCGTCGTCGTCGTCGTCCGTCGTCGGCGTCTCGTCGTCGTCCTCCTATTTCGTCGCCGTCGTCGTCGTCGTCGTCGTCTTCCCTCCTCCCTCGTCGTTGTCGTCGTCGGCGTCGCCGTCCTTCCTCCTTCGTCGTCGTTCGCGTCGTCGCCGTCTTCCCTCCTCCCTCGTCGTTGTCGTCGTTGTCGTCGTTGTCGTCGTTGTCGCCGTCGTCGCCCTTCCTCCTCCCTCGTCGTCGCCGTCGTTGGCGTCGTCGTCGTCTTCGTCGTCGTCGGCGTCGGCGTCGTTGTCGTCGTCGAAGTCGTCGGAGACGTCGTCGGTGTCGTCCTAGTCGTTGTCGTCGGTGTCGTCGTAGTCGGTCTGAACAAGTTTTGCAAACCAAGTTGCGGGTGGGTGGGTGGGATGTTTGCACGAGCCGGGGAGAGGACAGCTTCAAGACAGTCAAAGCGAATTCTCCTTCCTAAAAAAATAGACTGCCCCCCCTGGACGTATCGGTTCCCCATGGGATAATACGATTTCACATATATTCTGCACACTCGTCCATCCTAAATATGAAATCATATCATCCCAGCCAGGCCGGGTTCCCCCCCTGAGGTTCCCTTTTAAAAAACACTATGCGGTGACATTCGTTGTTCTAACATAGCACTTGTTCACGAATCCCTTGCAAAGAAATGAGACGAAGTGCACACGCGCGCGTCGTCGCGCGCGCATGCCGAAATCCTTCAAAATCCTTCGGTGCCGCAAGGATTTCGCAATCGAGTCTCCAAAACACATACAAAAACGCAGGGTTTCGCGACACTGATTTGCGAAAAAAACTTCCGCGAAAGCTCTTGCGAAATCTTAAGAAAACCATCGGTGTTTCAAGATTTTCACAAAATGCTACCAAACGGGCTTCGCGCGCGCTCATGTCGAAATCTGTCGAACGCCCTTGCGCGTGTGCCGTCGCGGAAATCCCCTGCCAAAAACGGGACGAAGTGCAGACGCGCGCGTCGTCGCGCGCGTACGCCAAAAACCTTCAAAACCCATCGGTTTCGGAAGGGTTTCAAAATCGTGTGTCCCAAAAAACCTACACAAACCAAAGGTTTCGCAACACGGATTTTCAACAAAAGCGTGCGCGCGCTCTTGCGTCGTCGTCGTCGTCGTCGCCGTCCTCTCTCCTCCCGCGTCGTTGTCGTCGTCGTCGTCGCCTACGTCGTCCTCTGCCTTTCCTCGTGTTCGTCATCGTCGTTCTCTTTGGCGTCGTGATCGTTTCCGTCGTCGTTGTCGCCGTGGTCGTCCTTCCTCCTCCTCCCTCGTCGTCGTCGTCGTCCGTCGTCGGCGTCTCGTCGTCGTCCTCTCTATTTCGTCGCCGTCGTCGTCGTCGTCGTCGTCGTCGTCGTCGTCGTCGTCGTCGTCGTCTTCCCTCCTCCCTCGTCGTTGTCGTCGTCGGCGTCGCCGTCCTTCCTCCTTCTTCGTCGTTCGCGTCGTCGCCGTCCTCCCTCCTCCCTCGTCGTTGTCGTCGTTGTCGCCGTCGTCGTCCGCACTCCTTCCTCGTTGTCTTCGTTGACGACGCCGTCGTCGTCTCCGTCGTCGTCGTCGGCGTCGGCGTCGTTGTCGTCTTCGTCGTCGACGTCGGCGTCGTCGTCGTCGCCGCCGTCGTCGTCGTCGTCGTCATCGTCTTCGTCGTCGTCGTGGTCGGCGTCGTCGTCGTCGTCGCCGTCAGCGGCGTCGTCGTCGTCGTCATCGTCGTCGTCGTCGGCGTCGTCGTCGGCGTCGTCATCGTCGTCGTCGTCGGCGTCGTTGCGTCGTCGTCGTCGTCGGTGTCGTCGTTATCGTCGTCGTCGGCGTCGTCCATCGTCGTCGTCGTTGTCATCGTCGTCGTCGTCGGCGTCGGTGTCGTCGTCGTCGTCGGTGTCGTCGTCGTCGTCGTCGTTGTCGGCGTCGTCGAAGTCGTTGGAAACGTCGTTCGGTGTCGTCGTACTCGTTGTCGGCGTCGTCGTCATCGTCGTTGTCGCTGTCGTCGTCGGCGTCGCTGTCGTTGCCAAGTGCCATTTGTACCCACCGTCACAGTCTTAAGAGATTTTGCAAATCAAGTTGCGGGTGGGTGGGTGGAATGTTTGCGCGAGCAGTGGGAGTGGACAACTCACTGCGAACAGAAATTAATTGCACCACTATAAATTGCACCACCCAATTCCCCTTTCTAAAAAGACAATAGACTAACCCCCCCAGGACTATCTCGTCCCCAGACGAATATATATATATATATATATAATATATATATATATATATATATCGGAGGTGAGGGGGTGAGATCGAAGTGGAACGGAGAGCCCCCCTACCGGGAAATCGATTTCGGTTTCGTGTTCGTGAGTGCGGTGCGTGCCGTGCGGGCGAGGCGAGAGAAAATCTCCTGTGGCTGAGGCGCGGCCGGACCAAATGACTCCCTTCCGGGCGGCCGGGGGCCCGCGGTGTCCCGCCGGTGTCCCGCCGGTGTCCCGCCGGTGTCCCGTCGGTGTCCCGATGATGATGTTGATGATGATTATGATGATGATTATGATGATGATGATGGTGATGATGATGATGGTGATGATGATGTTGATGATGGCGATGATGATTATGTTGATGTTGATGTTGATGTTGATGATAATGATGATGATGATGATGATGATGATGATGATGATGATGATGATGATGATGATGATGATGACGTCGATTGTGAGATCGATTGTGATATCGATAGTGAGACCGATTGTGAGATCGATTGTGAGATCGATAGTGGGATCGATCTTGAGATCGATAGTCAGATCGATTGTGAGATGATGACGGTGATGATGGTGATGATGGTGATGATGGTGATGATGATGGTGGTGGTGATGATGATGAGATCGATTGCGAGATCGAATGTGAGATCGATTGCGAGATCGATTGTGATATCGATAGTGAGATTGGCTGTGAGATCGATAATGAGATCGATTGTGAGATCGATAGTGAGACCGAATGTGAAACCGAATGTGAAATCGATTGTGAGATCGATTGTGAGATCGATAGTGAGATCGATTGTGAGATTGATTGTGATATCGATAGTGAGACCGACTGCGAGATCGATTGTGAGATCGATAGTGAGATCGACAGTGAGACCGAATGTGAGACCGAATGTGAGATCGATTGCGAGATCGATTGTGAGATCGATAGTGAGATCGATAGCGAGATCGATAGTGATATCGATAGTGATATCGAATGTGAGATCGATTGTGAGATCGATAGCGAGATCGATTGAGAGAGACGTTGGTTCCCCCTCCCCCCTCACCTCCTCATCACCCGCAGGGTGGTCGTATAGGTATAGGTATATATATATATATATAGATCAAATTTGGGTCACTCTGCAGTCCCTTGGAGCCAGGGGGACCCCATTTTGTTAAGTAGACTCCTGGGGGCAATGATGCATCCACGAACAACAATCCCACTAAGTGGGATAGCGGCTATGCACTGTACGTAGACATGGTGGCTCATGCAGTGGTGAGCCCAAGCTATGGCTTAGCAAAACATCTCATCATGGTAGCGTGAGGCTGCTGTGACGATCCACGGCTCGAGCGCGCGAGCCATTGCTGGACTCGGCTGCGGGTAGCTCCGCGCTGAGTCGCCGCGATTGGACTGCGGGTAGCTCCGCGTCCGACGGCGGCAGTCACCGGCGCTGCGGGAGGCAGCGCAGGGCAGTGCACGGTTGTGCATGCCCTCGAAGCGCGGTACGCGCTCGAAGAAGTCGTTCAACAAGCGTGAGCGGCGTGGCCAGTTGTTACGAGTTGGACTCGTCAACTTGGCGGTAGGCCATGGAGCAGTTGGCTCAACAAATCGCCGCGCTCCAGCAGCAGCAGGCGCAGACGGCGGCAACGCACCGGCAGGAGATGCAGCAGCTCGCGACGCAGCTCGCCGACGCCCGCCGCGAGACGCAGGCCGCGGTCCTCCAGATCACGGAGGCGAGGCGCCAGGAGGAGCAGGCCAAAACCGACAGGAGGGCGACCCTGGAGTTGGCCCTCCGCGTTGCGAACCGCGGCGGGAACGAGATCATCGACGCGAAGGGAGTAGGACAGCCAGGAAAGTTTTCCGGGAAGGAGGAGAGCGAGTTCCAGGAGTGGGCGCACAAGGTCGTGTGCTTCATGTCGGCGAAGTTCGGCCCGGACTTCACTGCTGCCCTAAAGTGGGCGGCGTCCCAGCGGAAGAAAATCACGAACGACGGGGACGGGGACAGCGTGAACTTCATGGACGCCTTCGGCGAGGGCATCGTGGACTTGGAGGCGAAGGCGGCCAACCTGTACACGTACCTCGTGTCGTTCACGACGCACAGCGCCAACAAGGTCGTCAGGAACGCCGGGCAGCACCAAGGGCTAGAAGCCTGGCGCCGTCTCCACGCCGAGTACGACCCCACGTCGGCGATGCGCCGGGTCGTGATTCTCGGCAAGGTGCAGAACCCAGACAAAGTGGAGAGCATCGACAAGCTCGGGCAGGCTCTCGAGGACTGGCTGATGAGGAAGCGCCAGTACGAAGAGTTCACGGACCGAGACGGGCAGCCGTGCAAGGTCAGCGAGGATTCCCTGATTGCCGCCATGTACAGGTTGGCGCCGGCGGACCTGGAGACGCAGTTGCTGTTCAACGCGGCGGAGGACGAGACCTTCGCGGACATCTTCAACAGGCTGAGCAGCTACGCCTCGACCAAGCACTCCCTGAAGTTGGACGCCAAGCAGAAGAACACGAGGCGAGGCCCCGACGACATGGACGTCGGCGCGCTGACCCCGCAGCATCGGCCGGGCGTCCAGTGCTGGAAGTGCGGCAAGATGGGTCATTACGGCAAGGATTGCAAGAGCGGCGGCAAGAGCCTCGGCAAGAAGGGAGGCAAAGGCGACGGTAAATCCGGAGGTAAGCCGGACGGCAAGTCCGGAGGAGCCAGAGGAGGAGGAGGAAGGAACCCCAGGAGCCAGCAGCCCAGGTACGGATCAGGATGCTGGACGTGCGGCGGCAACCACAAGCAGGTGGACTGCAGGTACCAGTCAGGAGGAGGAGGTCGAGGAGCCCCAGGAGGAGGAGCACCAGGGCACCCTAAGGGCAAGGCGGCCGGCGGCAAGGGCGGCCCCAAGGGCAGGGGCGGCAAGACCATGAGCTCGCTCGACGACTGGCCGGCTGACGTCCCGATGCCCTGGTGGAACCAGTCCTCCGCCACCGAGCCGGAGGCGGAGCAGAACGGCCTCGACATCAGCGGGATCGACGATAAGAAGAGATCAATGTCATCATTGTCACCTTCCCCCTCCAGACCTCCATATCGGATCCGGACTGGGAGCGACGAGTGGCTGCGCATCAACTACGATACGGGCGCGGCCACTACTGCGTTTCCCTTGGAGTTCGGCGACGGGCTGAACTTGCAGAAGAAGGGCGAGTTCCGGGTGGCTTCCGGCGACGTGATTCCGGACTTCGGCCGCGTCCGAGTGCCAGGCATTGACGAGCATGGCAACCAGAGGGGCATCTCGGGTGCCGTCACTGCGGTGCACAAGCCGCTCGGGTCGGCCGCGGAGGTGTCCAAGGGCCACGACTCCTTCATCTGGCACAACGGCGGCGCGCTGGTGCCTAAGCACCACCCGGTGGCAGTGGGCATGCGGCGTGCCTTCAACGAACTGACCCGGTATTACGGCAGGGAGGAGATCTTGCCGCTGTACCGCGAGGGCCAGCTCTACAACTTCTACATCAAGCAGAACGGGAAGCCGGTCAGCGTGGCCGGCATCGAATCGACATCGTCATCATCGCCTTGGAGGCCGTCGGCTAGCTCTTCGGATTTTCCGGGGCAGGCCTCTCGGCCGTAAGTCCGGTGGTGGATCAGGTCAAACACGACGGCATCATCTTGGCGCCGCTCGAGAACCCGATCGCGGGCACCACCTACGAGGACGACTGGAAGCAGGACGGCATCATGAAAGAGACCACCCGGTTGTACGACGGCCGAGTGGAGTTCGAGAGGACCGACGGCGAGTGGAGGTCCTTCGAGGTGAAGCGGGGCGGCTACACGCAGAGCCCGCTGGGCATGGACCCGGACCCCAATCGGTGGACGACCGATTCGTCCGGATCAATCCCTCGGTTGTCGGCGCAAGACCGGTCGGCTTGCACGGCGGCGCAAGAGGCACATTCCGGGGGGTTCTTTCCGGCTCCGGCGGTTTCGGCGGCCTCGCCTATCCCGGCATCTTGCGGGTTCCGGCGCAATTATCGGCTCTCGGCTTTTCTCGGCTTTCTCTTTCGTTATTTTTTCCGGCACTCCTTGCCTCGCTTTCCGCTTCGTTCCCCCGGCGCCTACCGTCCGCCGGGTCGTCTTCAGTACCTACTTCGGCATGGCCTATCTCCCCGGTTCTTCCACGGTCGGTTTAAATCTATTCATTACTTGCGGCCCCCCCCCCTCTTTTACGTCTCCAGGCTGGGGCCCACCCCCACCCCTTCTCGGCTCTCCGGTTCTACGTACGGCCCCACCCCACGCGGCGTTTCAACCGGCTTCGTTGCCGGCGCAACGGTCTTCTCCAATCGGCGCAAGACTGTGGTCACGGCGGTCTGGGAGAGATCCGCTGGCCCACAGATGTCCGCGACTGCAGCGCAGCAGCTGGCAGACGACTGGCAGGCGGCTCAGGATCCGAACATCATCGAGGAATCGGAGGAGTTCAAGAGAGTGCGGGCCGCGCGAGGCCCGACCCGGGCTCAAAAGGAGGAGCACGAGGAGCAGAATCATGCGGTGTACCGGTCGTGGTGCCCCGTCTGCCGGGCTGCCAGGGCGACCGGCACGCAGCACCGCGTTGAGGTAGAGAGGAGCGCGGACGAGGAGAAGGAAGGCCCACGCATTTACAGCGACTACTTCTTCATGAGCACGGACGAGACCTCGGCCCCGCACCTGATCATCAAGAGTTCGAGGTCAGGGCGACTTTATGCTACTTCGATTCCGGCGAAAGGCGTGGCTGAGTACAGCGTGAGGTTCTTCGGCAACACGGTGCACGGGACCGGCCTCAAGAAGTACATCAACCACAGCGACAACGAGCCGGCGCTGGTTGCGCTCAAGGAGGCGGCAGCGAAATCTTGCCCATCAGCGGAGGCCATTCCGAGGTCGGCGCCTGTGGGAGACCACCAGGCCAACGGCAGCATCGAGGTGGGCGTGCGCGAGGTCAAGCGCCAAATGCGTGCAACACGCCTGGCGTTGGAGCAGAAGCTGGGGCACAAGCTGAACGAGAGCGACCCTATGCTGAGCTGGATCGCGGGCTTCGCGGCCGACACCATCGCGAAGTACCGCAGGGGCAGCGACGGCAAGACCCCGTACGAGCGGGAGACGGGGCGGAAGTGCAAGAAGCCGAGCATCCAGTTCGGCGAGAAGATTGCCCTCAGGGTGGCACGAGAACGAGTTGGACCGTTGGACGACCTAAACGTGATTGGGAGCCGGTGACGGTGGACGCGCGCTACATCGGCCACCATGCGCGGACTGGAGCAGTATTGGGTCTCAGCTCTGACGGCGTGGTGCAGGGCATGGCATTTACACGCCTGCCGGCTGCTGAGAGGTGGAGCTACGCTGGCTGGGATCAACTGCGAGGAGTACCATGGGATGTACAGGCGCCACGGGACGCAGCACCCGAAGGCGGCGCGGAGCCGGCAGCGGCCGTGCCGGTACCGGTCGCTCCGCCGGCGGTGCCCGATGTGGTGGCACCGAGAGCGTTCTACGTACGCAAGAAGGACGTGCTTAAGTATGGGCTCACGGCTGGATGCCCAGGGTGCCACGCAGTGGCACGAGGCGCTGGCGCGCAGACGCACGACGCGGCGTGCCGGAAGCGCATCATGGAGCAGGTGGAGAAGGACGACGAGAGGAGGATCTCGGCGTTCCGAGAACGTGTGGAAGCTCAGCGACAGGAGGCTGGAGCTCACGCGGGCCCTGGATTAGGACAGGCACAGGCCGATCCAGGCCAAAATCTCCAGAGGCCTCCGGGGGCTGCGGGTAACTCCGCGCCTCCGGCGGCACAGGCCGATCCAGGCCAAAATCTCCGGGGGCCTCCGGCTGCGGGTAGCGCCGCGCCTCCGGCGGCCCAGCAGGGTGCTTCGGACTCGCCGAGGGTCAAGAGGAGTGGAAGCGATGCTGGATCGCCACCGAAGGTGGCGAAGTGGACGGACACGGGAGGCGGCCGATATAAGCGGAAGGCCGACGACCCAGGCGACGAGGAGCGCTTGGAGGAGAGGCCAGGGACGGGCGGTTCGCCGGGGAGCGGAGGCCCCGGCCAGGATGCTCCGGCTAGCGAGCTTATCGTGCTCCCTCCGGAGGTGAGCCCGTCAGGTATGACCGACGTGGAGCAGGCGGTCCAGTCCACGACGCAGGACGTGGAGGTAGACTCGCTGGACGTCGCGGTGGACGACGTCAAGATGAGCGATGAGAAGATCGGCCTGGCCGAGGAGATGGCAGTTGGGTTGGAGACCTGGCTGCGAGACGCTGGCGAGGAGTACCGGACCAGCGATGTGAGAGACTTCTGCAGGGTAGCTGTGGAGCTGGGCGCAGTGGACATGATCGAGACCTACGCCCCTGTGCGCTTCGCGGCAATGGCGCAGAAGTATGGGCTCCGCCCAGGTTTCGCCATGGACCTGAGCGAGAACAAGCCAGGGTCGTACGATTGTTGGGACTTGGAGAAGGATGAGGACGTGAAGGAGCTGGAGGACCGAGTGGACCAGGAGGAGCCGTACGTACTAATGGGGAGCCCGCCGTACTTGACTACGGCGGTGGGCTTCTACTGGCGGCAACATCGTGCCGGTAGGTATTTCCTACACGAACATCCGGCAGGAGCGGACTCATGGAAGGAGGATTGCATCGTAAGGCTCAGGAGCGAGCCGGGGGTCTGCACGGTGGAGGGCCCCATGTGCTGCTACGACATGAAGCCGGAGAGTTTCGAGAAGGTCAGCGGCGAGCGTCACGTTTTGATGCAGACCAGGTGGATGACCAACTCGGAGGAGCTGGCCAAGGCGTTGGATCGATGGTGTGCCAACCGGACTGGTGGGCCGTACCACGTCCACATGCAGGTGTTTGGCGGCGTGGCGAAGCAGACAGCAGCGTATCCCGTGCGACTCGTTCGCACTATCTTGAGGGCCCTGAAGGAGCAGATGCGGCGAGATCGAGACGTTAGCGCTGTAGAGTTGGCAGCTGCGGGACCTACACCTACGGAGCCGCACTATCCATTCGACGACCTCGGCCCGAAGGAGATCGAGAAGATGGTGGAGTTTTACGAGGAGACCCGGGACAACATCACAGGCGAGATACTTCCCCCGGAGTTGGTAAAGGAGGCTAGGAAGAAGGAGATGGATTGGGTTCGCAACGTCAAGTTGTACGACAAGGTACCGAGGAGCGAGATGGAATCCAGAGGATTCAAGACAGTGAGTACACGGTGGGTTGACGTGAACAAGGGCGATAAGGACAATTACAACGTGCGCTCGAGGATCTGCGGTCGCGAGCTGAAGGCAAAGACCAAAGACCAGCTGCTGGCGCACGAGCTTTTTAGCGCGATGCCACCGTGGGAGGCTATCAAGGCCTTGTTCCCTATCTTGGTCACCGACGGCTCCGTGGATGGCACCGCGGACCCCGAGATCGCCATCTTCGACATCAGCCGCGCGCATTTCATGGCGCCGGCGAAGCGTGAG